CATCAAACCTTGTTGTTGATACTACTTGTGGCTGGTATATTGTTTTGGTTTTAATCACTAACCTTATTTGTACTCATTAACTTCCACATGCAAATAATGAAACAAGAAAAACAGGAAATGTATTAAGTAATGCTATGAAAACATGGCTTATAATTTGTGGCTTGCTGATAAGATTGTTGAGTGAGCAATGACAAGGGAAGGAGCTTTCCGAGACCACATTTCCATGTTTTTTGTTAACTTCTTGGCTCTCCAGTAAAATATCCATGTCACTGTTAAACTGTTCACTGTATGTGTTCTGGTAAAGTGAAGGGGTTCTATTTTGGTTTGAAAAAAGCCTTGATTTACTCCCAATAGTCCCACTCAAGATAGCCAAGAGCTAAACAGCTTTGTGCAACAGATATATTAAGACGTCCAACTTAACTCTGACAATTTGTCTATTTGAGTGGCTTTTATCTTCTCAGCTGTCTTCCACAAGAAGTAGCTGCTCAAACTGCTTTTAATCTCTAAACATGTCATTTTAAACTTGTGTTATGAGGTTTATTATAACCACTAAAATATCTACTAAAACTGTAATCTTAAGCACTGTAACATTTATGTATTCAAGCTGATAAACTCAACTATTTGCATGTTTTTGTAGCTCGATCAACAAGCTAAGCATGTACATCCTTCAAGAAAAGATGGAGACTTTAGTCAGAAAGCTAATGTGTGGTATGGTGTCTGCGGCTCTTTTTGTGTTCTGTAGCAGTTACTAAACCAAAAGAAAAATATTTCTTCACTTCAGCTGGACTCCTGTTAAACACGCCTGTGAAAACCCCTCCGACAATCCGCCAGGAGCTGACTCAACAGGCGGTTGTGACTGATGTTCTCTATGAGATTAACAAACTAAGACAAGAATAAACAATTTCTATTAACATATTTGAAGGCGACAGCATTAAAAGATGTTGTCATCTTGGCTTAAGAATCTACGACGACGCTCAGCATTTACTATTCATCGCAAATTGGACAGAATCATGAAAAATATGCTTCTAGCAGCAGCTGCCTATGCTGTGAGCTCACACTTGTCATGCCGCTACATGTATGTCAGAGCAGCAGTGATGAAAGTTACACAATGCAGGCCCACAGGCAAGCATCAGTGAGCTCATGCAGGTGAGCATACATCTCGAGCAGCTTTTATATGGAGTTGTTTGGACGCTACGGTAATGACCTCACTGTGTTCATGATTTAACAGTCCTGATTACTACACGTGTGAAGGCATCAGTCACCAGGTATATTACTCTTGTAGTGGACGAGCCATTTTTTGATGGATTTCCTAACAATTAAACAGTTTTTAATCGTTTTTTACTGCCTTCTAACCAAAAGTTAAAGAACTGTTAAGTCACACTTTTACATGAGGTTCCAAAAAGGTGTTTTGAGATTTTCAGATGTTCAGTATTTTTAGTTTAACCTACAAAGCGAATTAATCAGGCAACTTTTTGCTAGGGGTCAACCCATTCTCAGCCTGGCTGATTAGAAGATTCAGTATTCTGCACATTTTCAATTATCACAATTATTATCTTTTTAAAATTGATTCCAATACGGGGCGCCGCGATAGCTCACCTGGTTGAGCTGGCGTCCCATGTATGGGGCAATGACACTTTGCTGCAGGTCCTTCCCCCATTCTTCTCCCCCACTTTCCTGTCTCTCCCGTCACTGTTCTATCTAATAAAGGCACTAAAGGCCAAAAAATAACTTAAAAAAAATAAAAAGTATTAATATTGATGCCAATACAATGAATGCATTTAAAAATGTGCTACTTTGTCACCTTTCTCTGTGTTCTCAAGCAATGTCTCGCTCACAGCTATATCTGATCACGAATAACAACTTCTAAACCACAGGCTCCATATTAAGATAGATGTAGCCTCCGGGTCTGAAAAGTGAAGTTAAAACAGAAGTCCCGGGTGCCCAGATAGTTGAACGGGTTGGGCGGGCAACCCATGAACACGGGCTGTAGTCCCGTGGGTTCGAGTCCGGCCCATGACAATGTACTGCAGGCCCTTCCCCAATTCTTCTCCCCATATTTCCTATCTCTCTCTCCACTTTCAACTATAATAAAGGCTAAAAATAAAAAATCCCAAACAAATAAAAAAAACTAAACAGAAGTCCCTTACACAAATGCCCGATTGGCAAAAATGTATCCAGGTAGCAGCGACATTTGTAATAGGTGTGAGCAGTCACCTGTAAATCCTACTCATTGTTCTGGTCTTGCCCCAACTTGACAGATTTCTGGCACCAAATATTTGACACGTTAGGGTCTGTCTTTGGCATGAGAGTCTATTTGGAATTCTCCCAGCAGGTGTTTATGATTTGTCCCCGACTACACAACCGGTCCTGGCCTCTACAACACTCCTGGCTAGACGTTTAACTCTATTTAAGTGGAAACAAGTCCACCCTCTGTCACATAATAGCTGGTTAAAAGAGAGTCTATATTAGCAGATTGGAGAAAATTAATACCTCACTCAAAAACCGTGTTGACTCTTTTGACAAGTCCTGGAAGCCCTTTAAGGAAGGTCTGGATAAGGGTACAATCCAGCTGAATGATACCTAGATAATAATAATAATAATAATAATAATAATGTTTGTTTATGCTTGCTCAGTTGCTTCAATGTTTTTGATCTGTTTGCTTTCTGACGGGAACTCAATGTATTTGTTTTCTGCTGATGATGTCATGGTTTATGATGAAAAACACCAGTTTTACGAATAATAAATTAATTGAATAAAGTTCAAAAGTGCCTTAAACCTGCAGTCAGCAGGGGGAGACTCTTCTGGTTTCAAGAAAATGTCCAATTGCGTAGAAGTCAATGAAAAAAATAATTCTAGCTCTCACTTGATTTGTTACGTCGGTAAACATTTTCCTAATGAGTTTATGGTCACAATCGCTAATATCAAATCCCCTTCAATGCAGCATAGTGTTCATTTTCTCAATTCAGGTCCAATTCTAAGTAAAATAAACACTAAAGCTGGGTTTGTTTTAAGGCAGGGCTTGCTATCGAATGACATCGCTACTGAATTGGCGTGGGTACAATCTATGCTAAATAAACAAAGGCGTTTTAACGTTTCGAGTTGGAATTATTGTTATTCTGTATTTTGACACCAAGATTTTTCACTTTAACTGCAAATATACATCTGTTCCAAATATCAGTTTCCAGTCTTCTTGATTACTAATCATTCAATATCAGCATTGGTCCTAAAAAATATATTGGCCAGCCCCTCCTTTCTTGGATCAGCACATTAGTCCTAACTCATCTGGCTTTGTGAACCCTTACGGTAATATTTTGAAACTTTGGTAAATGCTTATCGGCTGTTGCCACGAGTTAGATGACGAGACAGTTATCGCTGTCATATTTTTATGCTCACAGCAAGTTAGCTTAGCTTAGCATAAAGACCAGAAAGAAAAAAGCTAGCTTGGCTTTGCTCAAAGGAAACAAATGCTGTGCTGCTTTTTCAGAGGCGATTCTGTTTATGAAATGAATGAATGAAAAATACTTTATTTATCCCAGAAGGGAAATTCAATATTGTAAAAGCTCACCTTTTTTTTTTTTTAATCAATATAATGTATATTTTATACAACAATAATAATAATCATTCAGTCAGTCAATTGTACAATCGAAATTCTAATAACAATTGTATATTAAAAAAATAATTGTACAATACAAAGTCAATTAAACTGTACGTCATCATTTTTACACTGCATTTTTGCACCTGATATAGTAAAAAAAAATGTTGATATTTCATATAAATGTAGGCTAACTGGCTGTTGCCCTCAGGAAAGAGGTACCAATCCACCAACACGTTCTATCCAAGTGCAATACCGGTACTGAATGCACACTAGTCTCCACAGTCTGAATTATTTATCATATGTATTTATTATTTCTATTATACTATACTATATTATAATTATTTTCAATTATCTTATATTATATTTCATATATATTATATATTATTTACATTATTATATCTCTCATATATCCACAGTGTTCTTACTCAACTGTGCAATATATTGATTCTACCGTTTGGCTATTACCATGCTCATTCCTAACTATATATAATTTCTACTGGCTCCTTTTATTAATATATTTATATATTCTTATTTGTCTTTTTAATACTTGTATTTTGCGCCACTGGAGTTGTCTTTTAATTGTGTTGTACTTTGTGTATGATGGCAATAATATTCTATTCTATTCTATTCTATTCTATTCTATTCTATTCTATTCTAACTGGCTGATGGCTGCAGATTCCTATGTACTAAACAGACATTTCCATTTAATTCTCAACAAGAAATCCAGTATTTCATCAAAATGTTCGAGGATGTGATTTGATATTTCCTCCTAAGATTGTTTCATTTGAAGACTGAAAAGGTGAATTTTTTTGTATGCTTTTAATCTTCTTGAGATGCCTCCTCAGATTAATCTTGCAGTCATTTATCTCCATGTTGGGAACGAGTGAGTGACACTATGTAAATGTTCATCTCAGACGTGCAGTTTTCTCACTCTCTCCTTCCCCCAGCTTTAAATATAAATCAGCAAAATGGACTTAAGAGCCACGCTCAGTATTTAATAGTACAGGGAGACTCATACTCATGCCGTTTCACCCACAAGAGGAATCGCTCGGAAAATTAACATTTAGTAGGAGGGTAGGACTGTAGAATGTCAATGTACTGACAGCTGTCAGTACTGCAGTGCTGACAACACTAGAATGTAGAGGCATTTCTGCGTGGGCTGTTGTAGTGAAGTGGGTTAAGTTGCTGTCAGAAGCTGGTGGGTTGCTCACTGTATGTATGGTATGCCTCACGGCTTTAGAGATCAGATTGCACAGAAGTGGGTGGGCTGTCAGCTAGACTGCAGGCTTTTCAAGAATCATCCACAACAGTGCTGCCAAAGAGATAAAAGACTGTGTTTGACTCTTAGCAACAACGAGAGAAAAAGCTCCATATTCAGAGTCTTTTTCCGTATTTTTTTTTTTACCTCTGAATGCTCCTCTGCACGTGCCACTTCTTCCTGCAGGAGGTTCTGCGCTGTCTGCAGGCTGTGCTTCTGGACATGAGCCTCTGCAACGACAAAGAAACATCAGTGATGCATGCAGAGCGAGGAAGATGAGGTATGACTTCACTGGAGCTGCAAGAGGAATCCAGAAAACGGAGAAACCACAGCAGAGAAAATTATTTTCCAAATCACAAAGAGCCTGCAGGGTATGTGCTGACAAGGAGGCGCTGGTGATAGGGTGGATAGTTCTTGGTCAGAAAAAAAAAGGGGAAACGAGGGCTCTAAATGTTCAACTTCAAGCTATTTTCGGAAGCTTGTCTTAGTTTGGTTTGACCACAAGCCTCAAATCCATTTCTCATTTTTGCCATCTGCACCTATTATTCTGTCAGACACATCATTTCGATTTTCTTCAGTAACATAAATCTACAAAAAAATCAAACAAATAATTAGGGGATAAATGCTAATTAAGCACAGCAGAGTTCTCTTTGAAACTGTACTCAGACTGCACACATATGCAACAAATTTAAATTATTTATGCCCATGTCAATACAATAAAAAATGCAGGGAGCCTTGAACAAACATACGGGGGCAGCAGTTTACAAAACTGTAAGAAACTGTGTCAAATCTGCCACAGAAGATTCAAACCAGCAAATATCAACATTACGTTAGGAATGAGCACGCAGCATGATGATGGCTGACAGGACTGTGTTGTGATGCATCAGCAAACTTTAGAACCCTGACGAATGCAGAAAGCTCCCAACACTTAAAAATTGAAATTACGTGGATCTTGGGTTAATTTTTTATCATTTTTATTAGCTATAGAAGCAAATCTTATTGAATAAATAACATTTATAAGTGCATATGATGTCTCTGATGTATTCTCTGCTTTGAAAATAATTCTGGTTGTTACAACCTGGGTCTTATTAGCTTAGTTGCTATTATTCCTATCTAATAATAGCCTTGAAGTCACTAAGGAGAGGGATTCTCCGGTCTATAAACATCTACAAGTCCAACAGTGTGAGAAACATGAGCAGTCAGATGATCAGACAGGTTGTAAATCAAACAGCAGTTCATCCAGTTTATCTAAACTGGCTACAGCTCTAATTTGGAGGTAAAACTGAAGGTGAGTGAACCTAAAATGCAGCAGTAAGGCTGCGCTCACTTGTGAGATGGAAGGAAGGGAAAAATCATAATGTTTACAACTTCTCCAGATTAAAGAATGCAGTGCACTGATGATATAGCACTACTGTTGCAACCATTACATTTGGCTGAAATGTTGCAGAACAGCGGACTTGTGGGTGACTGGACGCGCTGATGTTCTGTGAAGTGTTAAGTTTGAGAAGATGGAGCTTTCAGAAAAAATTACAAGCTGGAAACTGGTAATTATAGTACGGTCCATATGACATAAGCATGGTGTAAGCACAGCAGGTCAAAGTGGAGCTAATAAGACAGTCAAACACAGGGTTGGGCAACACGTTAAAACTTTCCAACCGTTACTGTCAATCCAACAAGCAGTGATGGCTGACATTTCCACAGAGCTGTCTGACAGTCTTGACAGTTCAGATGGCGCCAGATCTGTTTCCCACACAGTTATGTATTTGTGGTGTAACCTGCCACAACATAAACACTGACTGGCAGAAAAAGATATTTTTTAAGTAGAAATGAGCAATATCTAATTTCATTGGTGAGTTGCAACGTTTTCTTCTTCTCTCTGTTGAACAAACACCTTGACAACACATCTGAGGCCTCCTCCTCATACACTCTGACTCAAAACGTGCAAAACCAACAATTGTTTTTGGTAACAATTTTTTTTTGTAATTTTCTTGGCCTTTTTGCCTTTATTGTATATGACAGTTGAGAGGGAGAAGAATGAGGGAAGGACTTGCAGCGAAGGTCCTACAGCCTCTGTACATGGGTCGCCAGCTCAACTAGTTGAGCTATAGTGGCGACCCAAAAACCAACAATTGTAGATGTCTTCACCCCACAGAATAGATCTAATCTGAAGTTCTTGAATGGTTAGACTCATGAATATCTCTGCACAAATGTGTCCAAAATGCTGATAAATCATTTTAGCTGTCCACCTAACCGTAGCAGGAGGAACCCTGGTTTTATGTCTAACTAATCTTTACTGGACCAACTGAGCTGTGAAAAGACAGAAAGACACCATCATAACATTGCACAAACTGCCTATATTTCCTTTTCTGGGGCAGCGATCACAGTACACAACATTTAGGAAACTGCTCCACTGAAATTTGGGCCTGCCTGCACAATTTATTGCTGATGACAGTCACTTAATCACCTCTGTCGACACAGTGGCTGCAGCTAAAACTGCCAGCCACCTTGAGCACAGACTTGAAACTTCTCAATTTGCAAACAATTAAAATTAACCGAATAAAATGACAAAAAATCACCACAAAAACAAATAACTGATGATCAGCCAGTCGCCGAGAGACTGTATATTCGTCCAATCACCCAACCCTTCTTCCAAACAGACAGTTTCCCCCTGCACCTCTTTTAAAACATTTCCAGACCTCAGCAGTCAGCTTAGAGAGAGCAATGAATTTATTATAGAAGGAAATGATGGCAGACACTGCAAGAATGCAGCTGAATAAAAAAAAAAAAATGAAGGGACAATTATTCTTTGAGGAAATCCTCTGAGCCTTGAAATGCATTAACAAATATTACTTTTCCTGGATATTACTTAAAGACAAGAGTGGGGTTGAATAGAGGTCAAAAAAACATTTCTCTCTCTCTCCCCTCTTATTTCATGGCAGCCCCCAACTGATGGCTAATAGAGGAAATATTTGAGGGAGAGTTGTGAAGTGAAAGGAAACGCGCAGGAGGTCTAAAAACAACTTAAAGTAATTTATGGCACAAAGCTCATAGAGGTATTTAAAGGCCCTTAGCACACAGCTGACAATCTGCATCAAAAACTGCTCCTTAGAGACAAAACTAAGCGCAAAGACACAGCACACATACTTTTGGATTAAGTGTCAGTTTTACTGCCCAAGGATATCATTATCTCTGATGGCCACTGTGAACAAAACTCCTTAAATCTGCTCCGGAAAGAAAGAAAACAAGGTGCCGGAGAATAATCCTTTTTCTTGAGTATCAAAGTTGTCTGTGCTTGTATGAGCTCAGAGCAAACAAAGACTGAAAACAGCTAATTTGGCAAACTTTTGATGGTGCCAATTTTCCCAAATGTAAACAATACGGGGCACAAGCTGCACCGTGCAGCCTCCATTTTGTTTGAAGATGTATACAATGGCCTTATTAAGGAAGAAAACAGACAAAAACTGAGAAAATAAGACCCAAGTTGTCTTAAAAGGCTTTGAAATATGGCTCCTAATTGGACATCTGGTATTTTCAGTTTGAGTTTTGCTTGTATTGCTTGCGTGTAGACCAATTATTTGCCTGGCTAATTATCGTGGCCGATATTTGGCATTTGTCCGATTATCTGTGTTTTTATTGGTCGACTATTGATCTATCAAATGTGCAACTTCAGGTCTCTCTCTCTGTCTGTTCACTCTGTGGCCTCAGAAATGTCTCTCAAGCAGACTGTAAAAAACTTATAAGAAACTACAAGCTGTTGCCACAAACCAGGAAATTAGTTCTTCTCACTGTGGCTAATGCTATGCTAACAGCTAGGAGCTAGCAGCTAAGTGAGACAGCAGCTAAGAGAGACAGGAGCCATGGATTAACCTGAAACAGAGTCTGGAAAACAATAATTATTATTACTGTAATATACGGACTTTAGTGGACAATACAAGTGACAGAACAGTGAAAGATTAAGAAAATAGAGAAGAACAGCAGGAGAAAAACTGATCATTTTCAGCTGATCCCACATAAACAGAGGAAGCATCTTAATTTAATCACTCCTATTTCTATTTTACATATTCAGTTACAGTCACCCTTATTAATGAAGAAGCCTAGCTATGAATGACAGCTTCCCTGCTATCAAATGCTGTTAAAACATTACATTTAATGCATATCGGTTCCAAATATCAGTTACCAGTCTTTTCTGATTACCATCAACTTGCATCAACCCTGAAAAACTCATATTGGTCGATTCCTAATAAGAAAATTAAAAGCAAAATGACACTTTGCACCCCTAAGTGCCGACCATCAGCTACAAGCAGGGACGGTCGCAGCAGGCCTAATAAATATGTATGTGGTGCAGTTTTCTCACACTAACACAGCATGTGTTCACCTCCTGGGGGCCGCGGTCGGTCATCAGTATGAACAGGCTTGACCCAGCTGACTGCAAAGTGTGTCTTGTCCCTCCAAGAGACGTCGTGACAGCCACGCTAACCCCCACAAGTCAGGCTGGGTTCACTGAATACCGGGGGGGGGGGAAAGAAATAAAGGTCACAGTAATGACTCTAATAACTCTAAGCCCCACAGGGAAAATCTCTACCCCCCATCTCGACTTACAGAGTGAAAATGGACAATGTGTCCAGGCAGTCGCTTTCCCAGGCGAGATGTTCTCTGGAAACGCTCCCTGCTATTCAAGCATGGCAGCTGAGTCGCTCACTCAGATCTTTACAGGAGATAAATTTGCTTTAAAAGAAGGTTTCTGAGCTAAAAAAAAAACACAAAACATTACGACTTCAATAAACTCAGCTGCCTCCCGCTTTCTATCGCGCCGTCACCACAGCATTAATAATCTATCGCTCCACTTACGTCGTGGCCATCGTTGTGTGAACTCTGGTGTAGTAGGAAGCAGGCATGCATGTGTCCTGACCCCACACTGCAGATGTGGAGAGATGGGGGGTGTAATGGGAGGTGACAGCCAGGCAAACAAATACTCTTAGAGCAGCTGTATGTGACCTACATTTTGGAAGTCGAGGGGGGGATATGGACCTGGAGGCTGCACTGAGCTGAACTAACAAGTGAATGGTGTCGGTGATGGAGTCACGCATTTTCTGTGGGAGCAGATATGAGACAATGAGCAGTCGTGCTGCGACTGCTGCTGTGTGAGCCACACTTTGACTGTAATATGTTTCCCAAACTGTCCCTTTATGACTTAACAACCGGCCCCTCGCAGCAGACGCTAAAGCAAACA